AAATGCGACCCTAAAGAATTATTGCCGTGGATACTCTAAAATAGAATATCCCCAATATCCTCATTTTTACCATGTTCAACGTCTGATAACTCGAAAAGTAGATGGTTCCGGACTTCGTGCCCATTAACACTTTTGATCAGGAGATTATAAAGTACAACATACTGCAGTTTCAACTAATTTGACCGGGATCCATTTTCCCTATGGCTGGGCCCGGGGTCCTTTTCTATAGCAATTAATCCTAGGTATAAATGGTTTCACTGACCGAGTTGTAATATTTATCCAAAATTATGTCGGCATTGTCAAGCACTAAATAAGAAAGTCTATCGAATGACAATAGATTTTTGTACTCATTCAAGAATCGAGCCAAGTATCGCGGTGTGGTCACTAAGATTTGACAGCCGCTATATATCATTGCCTGAAAGAAGCAAAAATGAAGAGTTCCTTATCTTCTGCAGCTACACCTTTTCGGTACAGTAAATATTCACCACTTAGCATTATTAAACGACCGATGAGACGCGATAGTACTTACGCAGTTACGCGAAAACTATTTCTTTTTAACATTTTCTGAAGTTAATTTTTATTTATTGATAGTAACATATAGCAAAGATATTTAAAACATATTTAGATAAGAAATTAAAAGTTATCATAAAATAATAATTATTTTCTAAGTAAAAAAACAAATAAGTAGAATTTAATTTAGGAAAATCTGATTACGGTAAATTTCGAAGCGTAGTACTAAGCCCAAACCAATATTACATTTTCTACAACATTGTGTGCTGTCTTTTGCAATTTTTATTACAATGCATCTTAACGGATTTCTCCTTTCAGACCTTTTGTCATTGTTATACACAAACACAAAAAGTTTTTTTTCTTTTTAAAAAAAAACTAATAACAAGTATCTTTTTAATAAATAATAAAATAAAATGAAAATCAATAGCAACGCCAAAACATACTTTATTTCAAATCAATTGACACACGGCCGTAAACGCTTAGTGGCTGTCGATTTAAATCGACGATTACACCGAAAAGGTGAAAAAGATATTCAATTTTCGTAAAAATATAGATAGATAAATTTACCGCTACTGATTTATCCGATTTGCCATTAAATGCTGCGACGGATCTTATATTATTAAATGACCGCAGAAATGACTGGCACAAAGATTGAACAGAGATTACTTCAAATGACGAGGCACATAAAATTAATGCTAACGGACGAGTTGCACTACGTGTTTCCTGAAACAGATATTATTTATATCGATTAACATGTTCCATCCTGGACTTTCCATTCAGGCAATTTGATATTTTAGCTTTTCGATTATTATCGATGATAAGCACTTTCATATTAAATGTTAAGGGGATCCTGGACAGGGGACAATTACCGACAAAAACAGTCAGGGCTCGTTCTTTGAAACGGCTTTATAGATCGCAAAATCCTTTTACAAGAGTAAAGTATAGGTACTAATGAAGAGTGAGAATGTAAAAAAGTGATAATTGAAAAAAATGTAAAAATGCTGTCACCTCATTACCATATTTTCTAATATAAACAGTTGTATATAGATTATATGTACGAAATGAAATGTTCCGTTAAAACGTACCGTTAAAATTAAGATTGAAAGCCTGGAAAAAAAATTTGGGCTTCGAAGAAATCGTGTATATTTTCCACAAAAATATACACGCAGGCTACTAAGCAGAGATGGCGCAGCAATCAAACAAGGACAGATGTCATTTCATTAGACAAAGACAGATATAGGAAAAACAAAATTAGAAATGTTGACATTATCGACATCGAGGAAGTTTGGCCGTCACTCCAGCATCCCCTCATGTTTAATAAAAATATCTACTTTATTTTGCATTGCATTAGGCCCTTTTCTTTATAAGTTTTCTAGTTTTGTAATTATTATGGAACACTAAATGAGCAGAGAATAAATCACGTAAAATTAATCCGGTACGGAATGTGTTAATAAAAGATTTTTTTATACACATACACATATATGCATGTATGTATGTATGTATGTATGTATGTACATACATATATACATATTTTATTGATATAAATTTGTAAGAAATATTTTGCTTACGCTATGGTTAGAAAGCCTGATAAAAATTTAAGACATTTTGTTTTTTATAATACTCGTATAAACAAAATTACTTTACCTTTTTACGTATAGCTATCTGACCACAAACAGCCATTACGCATCCGCTCGTTTTACCACATTGTGACGATCCAATAGCAACAACGTTTAAACCGTTGTTTATAGCTGGCCATATATAAGATTGAAGTTTTCTTGGTCTAGTAGAGTTGATGCTCTCAAACCAACCCTAAAAAGATATACTTAAAATATATTTTTATTACACTCTAAATCAATCGAATTACTGTCAAATGTATTTACTGGATCATATACCTCATGTATTCCATTAGGATATCTGAGGTCTGTAATGTCACTTAAGGCATCACAGTCTATTGAGCTCTGTACCAAAATCTTCTCACTGATAACAAATAGCAAAAACATAAGGAACATAAATATTTCTATATAATCAATTATATATATACTTTAAATACTTTTACCTGAGAAAAAATTTTGTGTGAGATTTATTAAGTCCATTAATACATGTTGCGTTGTTCATTCTTTCTCTATCTCTTGAAAACTTTACATGTAAAATGTACCACTTTTCTTTAAGTTGTGTGGACGTTTCAACAAGCTTCAATAAATCTATATACCAATTAAATTATAAATATTGTATATCATTCAAATGTTATTAAATTTATTTTAAGAGTTAATAAAAGTGACAGACAAAACAATTTTTGAGCAATTGAATAAGAATGTTAACAAAATAAACTAAAATCAAACTTGTTTAGTGAAAAGTTACAAAAAACAGTTAACGTTTCTTTCGACTTCTTCAGAATATTATAACAAAAAACTACAAGAAATTACATTAAACAGATAAAATAAAATAATTATATCCTACAGATAAAATAAATCAGGTTTATATTCAAAGCGTTAGAATAATTAAGTGGAAAACAGATCAAAATCGAACATAATAATAAGTCAAAGATTAAAAATTAACCGAGATGTCTAAAGTAACGTAACACTTCTATGATGAGAATCCATCAAAAATAACCGTAGTAGCAAACACATTCTTCTTGGAAAGTACAAAATGTAAGTCCAAAAAGTAAAAAAAAAACTATTGTTAGTAGATTACTTGGTCCTTGTGACCAAATTTAGTAAAAAATAAGTAGTCAAAATTCAACGAAGAGAAATAATACAAAAATTGGCTATTAGCACAAATATCCGAGTAGTGCAAAGATATGCGACTAACTGAATCTATTTTAATAGATAATATTAAATTTTAATAGATTTATTATAGGAAAGTTTCACTTGAGATATTTACATACCTCCTTCTATATAAAGTGCATGATAATTAATGAATAATGCTTCACTTAATAATATGACAGTTTTATCAATGGTACAATAAAATTCTCCGTATTCTCTTCCATTACTTTCGTCCGTGACTAAATGATCAAAGTGTACAATTTCAGATGTGCTGAGAAGATGTTTTGTAAACTGAATGGCTTCTTCGGTCCACTTTTCTACAACACTTTAAGTAGTTGCAATCTCTTAAACATTTTTGTAAAGAAACAAAATAACTGTAATTGAAATAAATCTAGTGTACATCTTACACTGCAGTAGCGTTAGAATCATTTGACACGACACCATTCTTTTTCATACAAATCGGCAAAACACCAAATACACCCACGGTTTTCGTTAAATACGCATCAGGGACAACATCTTGTGGAAATATATGAAGTTTATCCCTAGTTAATTCAATGCTAGTACCATGATCCACTAAAAGAATACAATATGTTCCATCCTTTTTAATACAAGTTATTAAACCACGGCAAATAAATGATGGTAAATTTATTCCATCTTGATGATTAAGTTGTATAAAAACCGTCTGCAAGATAAAGAGTATCTTATATTACGAGAAATGTAACTTGTATAAGATATCAGACAATTATAACCCATATGCAATAGAGAACATGAAACTTACGTCACCAATTTTGGCATTTTCCTCATCTCTTTTCTTCTTCAAATAAGTATCTGTTTTCATAAAACTTATTAACTTTGATTGAATCGTACAGAGTGTCTCTTTGTGCTTTTCAACTTCACAAGCTCTCATGATATATGGATTTTGTACGTTTCTTACTCGTATTGCTTTGGCTGTAGGAGGAATGGCTGTATCTGAAATTAAATAAAGATTTAATAGTTGAGTAATTTAATTTGTCTAATGTATCATCGCTATAAATGAAGTATGAACATTATTAATATGAACATTACCTTGATGCTTACGAAACTTGTTCATGTTTTGAGAATTATTGCCCTGAAATAAAGAGATTTGTAATATTTTACAATCATATCTAAAAAATTCTTGTATTTATTTGGATCACTAACAATCTATACTCCGTCCAACAAGAGATCATGGTTGATCGAACATAAATAACGATAGGGCACAGAGCCGCAACAAGGTGTTTGCGTTAAATTATTTTTATTTTTAATAGATATTGTCCAACACTATTAAAACTACACGAATACCTTTTTGCGACTTTGTGCCCTATCGTTATTAATGTTTGATCAACCATGATCTCTCGGTGGACGAAGTATAGTTGCTTTTCTGTTTCTTACATACAGTCCATGTTTCTATTTTGTTTGTACTTATCTGTCACATTTTACTACATTTTACCCTACCTTGTGATTGAAATATGCACTTGCTGATTTTTCGAGAACTGGCATCTTTTCTGATAGTTTATAAAAAAATATACTTGCAATTATAAATTACTTCTTTAGGTTTTTTCTCTTTGGTGAGCAGGATTTCAGTCGATCTGTGTCAGTTTTTAGAAACCAAAAATCATTAAAATGCTAAAAGATAACCTACACGAGTTCTTCACATGAGACTCCGCGCTATATAACCCAAAGGCAGGGTTGAAGGCGCTTTGCTCCTTCCCAAAGGAGCAGAAACCAAAAAAAAAAATCACATGAGACTCCAACTTACCTTTTGAAAGATAAAAGAGCAATATATCCTTTTTCGACGGTAACACTTTAACTCAGGAGAAACTTGAATCGATACGTCGAGAGTTTGGTTTAAATGACCATTCGCGTAATGCGAGGCTGCATGGCAAGATAATTGTTGTAAACAAAGAGATAACCTAGCCTCAAATTAGATTCCCGCCAAGAATACTTAACCGCCAATATTCACAGATTCACTGATTGTGAGTATGAGATTCACTGCCAGTACTGAAAATCTATAGTTTATGTTACTTTCCCCACAATTTCAATCTTTTTCTTGATCCTAATACTGGGTTAGAATACTTAGAATATTCATATAGTACGTTTACGCGAGCGTTACTTCTGTAGTAACTTACGATAATTCCTTCGCGTAAACGGGATTTTGTAGTAACTTACGATAATTTACTCCGCGTAAACGAGTGATATATCGTAAGTTACTACAGAAGTAACGCTCGCGTAAACGTAGTAAAGACTTCTATACAAGGTAACTCGCGGATAAGGAGTACAGGACGCGATTTTTTATGCCTAAAGAAACAACTTTTTCCTTTAGCGAAAGTACGTCTGGCAAGTAACAAATAGCACTGACGACTCTGACGAGGTGACGAGATTGAGATAAATAACTGTTAAAGACCATCGGTCCTTGTCCCTTGCACAAATGCCAGGCAACCAACAGGCAATGGAAATAACCAAAAAATCGTTAATTACAATCTACAAAATTCGAATGCTATGATTGGTTGGCAACAGGCAATAAGCACAGGGCTGCGTTCCAAAATTCACTTTAATTGACCTAGTTTACATCGATCACTTGATACGCGTATTAAATAGTAAATAACTAGTAAATAAGTCTGATTATTGGCTGATCAGTTCAAATATACTATTTGATACGCGTATCAAGAGATCGGTGTAAACTAGGCCATTAACTAAAATGCTATAGTGTATGTACATATGTACTACCAGAGAGAAACCTGGGGTACGTTCCAAAACTCTACTCTGAGTAGCAGGGTTAACCCTACGCCGTTCCAAAACGCGAAGTAAGTAACTATATGGGCGGAGCCTATTCGTTCCAAAAGTGAGAGTAAAGTAACCCCGGAGTTAACTCTATGAACCCTGCTTCCGAGGTGGGTTAGGAGAGTAAACTCTACTAAATTTGAATATAAACGCGGAATCTTAGAACATATAAGCGCAATTGTCTCTATACACCGCGAAAACGTTGGCCGTTGCTGTGATAAGTAAGAGAGTATAATATTAAAATTAGATAAAGTATTTTATATTAGAATTAGAAATGATACTTTATTACCCGGGTCTGAAAGAGCGTTTTGTAGGGACGTACCCAACCCTGTACATTTATATATACATATAAAATAATATTATTTCCCGGCCTGGCCATTAAGCGACCTCACAAGATAAAGTATTTTATATATCACACATAATAAATGAGCATATTAATTTCTTTTTTAATGGTTTTTTAGTCTGTTTTAGAATTGAGAGTTACTTTAAAAAAAAGTAAAATTTATTAGGTTAGGTTAAGGTTAACTTTCAATCCTAAAACATTGTTGAAGTATCAGTATCATACATATATACAAATAATATTATAAATTTATATTATTGTTTACAAAGTATAAAATAGACAAAATGGATCTCACAGAACAGCAGTACACCCTTATAAAAATTTAATACTGTAAGTGATTTTTTGACTAGTAATAAATCACTTAAAAACACTATTAAAAGCACTGTTAATAGTGCTTAATCAAAAAAATGATTAATCACTAGCCAAAAAATCACTTACAGTATTAAATTTCTATAAGGGCATAATAATCGAAGGTGTAATATACAACATTACGACAACACCCGAGATGCATAAAAGAATACGAAATGGTAAGTTAAGTAGTAGAGTATTTCATTAAACTAATTTCATTAAACAGCTCGTTGAGCTCGTTGAGCTTCCATTTTATTCGTTGCTAATACTACTTTTTCAACGTTCCAAATCGTTCAACCAGAGTAACTTACTCTGGGCTTACTCTCTCCCCACTACCTTGGGTTCTTTAGAGTTGACGGAGTAGAGTTTTGGAACGTACCCCTGAGAGCGGCCACCGGGATCATTCCGTTCCAGCGGATGTATACTGACGCGCCGCCTGAGAAAGTGGACGTCAACCTCTGGAAGTCGCGCTTTTAACGACCTCATAGAAGTTAGCCGGACAATTTCGACTTACGACATTTTTTTT